TTTTTTTCAATAATAGTATAACATAATGTACTATTGTTGAATTCTTTATTGTCTTTTACCAGTTAAATAAGATGGTGTTAGTATGAAGATCAACTCAAATGAATTAGAATAAAAAAACAACAGATAAATTATTCAATAAAATAACTCTTTATGAAGAAAAAGAAGAATAACATAAAAATAAATTGTTGTTTTTAAATTTGTTTTTTAAAAAATATGGAAAATTTTAACTCAAAAATTTTGTATATACACAATATGAGTGAAGAAAACCAACAACAACCAGAAACACAACAAGTGAATCAAACAAGTGAAAAACAAGAAGAAAATGTTGAATTAATTGATATTATTAAAATTACTGATCAAAAACAAAAATGTGAGGAAATTGAAATGAACCAAAAAGAAATGTTTGTTTTTATTAAATAAAATGAAAAGACAATCACAAAATAGTCAAAGTATTATCAAAGATCAATTACAACATGTAGCTCATATTCAACAATTAATTAATGAAAAATCAAAGGATTTTGATAAAACTATTGACCAGTCTATTGCAATAGTCAAAGATACTAGAAATGACCTTCTTGTTATTCAAGCAAAACTTCAGTTTGATTCTTATTTCTATCTAACAATTAAATAAATACTAACTTTTAGAAATATGAGGTTAATGCTAAGATTACCAAATAAATAATACAATTGATTTTCATTTATTTATTAGTTTATTATTCATTAATCAATTACTGTACATCGAATCCATAAAATATCACCAAATGGGATATGATCAACAGTAAATAACCGACATTGAATAACCCATGTTCCACATTGTTTAATCATAAATTCATAAGAAACTTGAATAATATTACTACGTATAATTTGTGGAATTATAAAAGTACTTTTAGTTGGAATTAGTGTATTTCCTTTCCATTGACCAATGTAACATCCTTTAGGCCATTGTTGATTTCCACTATTTTGAACCATCCATATTTTTATATGTTTTTCATTTTTATGAATAATTTGTAAAGATTTAAATGTTACATCTCTGATAAATTCCATCTGATATCCAACTTCCTTCTTAATATAATCAGTTTCTTCTTTTATTTGACATTTCTTAATAAACATTTGAGTAATTAATTTACATTGATTTTTAAATTCTTCATCTTTTAATATTGTATTTAATTCTTTCCAACACATAAGTGATTGAGATAAATGAGGTAATATAAGAATTTCAATGATATTCGTTATTCCTTCTTTTGTAGAAATCATTCCATTTTCATTCTCAAAAATATGTAGACTCACAACTCCACTTCCTTCTTGATAAAATCTATTCCAATCATTTTGATTGGTAATAACTGATGGTCCATTTAAACCACAATAAAATAAAACTCTTTCTTTTGGAAGTTGTCTAAAAATTGTACGTAATTTCTTATCAAAAGATTTCAAATGGAACATTTTTTGATCAACAACAATTCTATGATGTTCAACACCACAACAATCAACTTCAACAAGAAATTGTTTTTGCATAATTAATTGTATCTCATAATTAATAACTTCTTTATAAATCATTTTATTAACTAAACTTATCAAAATCAAACAAAAAGTTATTTCTATTCAACTTAATTAAAGTTCCTCTTTGATTGTTTCATCACAAGGACAATGATATTTGTTTTGATTACATTCAATATGATTATCAATCAATCCAATGCAATACCTTCCTAATTTCTTATTGCACATTAAGTGATATTCTTCTTTCTCAACTTCATTAATAAAGTTATAACTCTCCTTAAAACTATATAAATCAACACATCGTTCAATAGAATTCATTAAAATAATATTTGTTGTATTCCATTGATTAACTCTACCAAATTGAATATTGAATATTGGATTAAATTGATAATTGTTATCAACAATAATAGTTGATTTACCTTTGATAGAAAGAGAATAACAAAAATCATGTGAATTGGTATTTAAACATTCTTTTGATAATTTCTTACCTGAAACAGTAATTGTAGTATTCTTTCCAATATTCAGTAATGAATCTCCACTTAATTCAAAGGAATTAGATGATAGTATTGTTGATTCTCCAGTATTTAATGTTGTGTTATATAACAAAAATATACTTGATGCATTAACAATACTATTATTTCCTATTTCAATGACAGCCTTTGAATATGATGAGATGTATTTCTTAACATTAATATAAACATTATTCTTAATATCTAAGTGAGGTGTTTGAAATACATAAATGTTATTAGTTATTAATTTAACGTTATCTTCAATAGAAATAATAGAAGTACCATAAACATAAAGATTCTGACATTCAAATAAACTCAATGAACCAATATGAATTTGTCCATTATTAAATACATTAACAAAATATCCATTAATTTGAATAATACATTCTTTTTCTATTGTAAGTATAGTATTATCATATAATTCAATTTGATTGTTAACAACTAAATGACTTCCTTCTTTAAAAAGAATTGATGAATTTTCATATCCTATTAGACTGTCAAAAATAAGTACTTCACTCTCATTTCCATTAATAAATAAACCATTTGATTTTAACATAACTCTTCCTTGTTTAACATTAAAATATCCATTATTGTTAATTTCAAGTGTAGAATTCTCTTCAATAATAACATTTCCTTGAACTTCTAATGTTCCTTTAACAATAACTTTACTTTGTTTAATTTCTATTTGTGGAATTTCTACTATACTATCTCTTTCAATAATCATTTCATTTCTAATAATACTATTTCTCATTAAAATAACATGAACACCACGTTCTACAAGTATCTTTTGTTGAATATTACTATCTTCATCTATTGTAATTGTACAATTCTTTGATATGTTGATTTGATTAATATCTTTCATTAACTTATCACATTCTTTAGTAATATAAAAATCTTTATTAATCTCTAATACTTGACAATTCTCTCTATTTAACTTTTCATTACAATGATTTGAAATTGATTGACATAAAATCTCATTAGCATTAACAATACCTCTTATCCAAAAGAATGAAAAGATGATGAAAATCATTTCTTTAACTTAAATCTTTTAAGTTCATCTCAACTTATTACG